GAGCGGTTGCCAGATTGCAAAAAACAAAGGTAAACACTGGGCAGAAAATGTGTCCTTTTAACAGAGAAGCTCTGATTTGCGGATTTGAACTCTTGATATCTGGCAACCGCACACATGAAAGCTCGTGTAGTAGAGGAGTGTACAGCAGTCCGCAATAATATTTTGTCTCCTTTTTTTTTTCAACAAAATTAAAAGAAATTTTGGTATCGCTTTTATTTTTTATAATACATTTTAGTCTCGTCTTTTATCGTCAACGATATTGCATGTTGATATAGTCACAGTTATCGTTTATTGAGCTTATTGTGGTCTGGTCATTGTCTCGTCTTAGTCATGGGAAAAAAGAACATTTTTCGTCACACTTTTGGTCATGTCTCAGTCTGAGAGGGTCAGATGTTGTTGAGGTGTGTGTGTAACGTCTGTGCTCTGTAGGGAGTGTGATCTGGTGAACGACGGCGTCAGCTCGATGCCCGAGGAGCAGGATCTCGTGAGAGATGAAGCCTGCAAGATGAGCAGCGTTCTGCCTACAATGTGGCTCGGGGCTCAGAACGGCTGGTGAGCGTCAAACCCTTGCAAGAGCGGAAAATAAACAGGGTTCGCACCATGTAGGGCTGCATGATTAACCGCAGTTACAATATAGGTTAGTGCACAAGGGCTGCTCTTTCATGTCAGCAGCGTCGGTTCACACAAACTCATCTCTGCTTGAGCTTATCAGGAAAAGAGAAGCTTTAAGGGCTCCATGTGGTTTTGCATGGAAATAAAAATTAGATAGTTTAAAATTTAAAAATGAAAAACAATATATACACTAAATATTAGTATTGTAAATTGACAGTTGTAATGTGAACGAAAATTATTATTATTATTATTATATTATTTTTATTTTTTATTTTACAGTGAAATATTTTCATAGTAATGTTTATTTTGTTTTTAGTAATTGTTTACTTTTTTATTTAGTAATATTACATTATGATATTTTTCTTAAAGTCTTTTTTATTTTACAGTGAAATATTTTAATAGTAATATTTCTTTTGTTTTTTTATCAATTGTTTACTTTTTTATTTAGTAATATTATATTAAGTAATAATATACATATAATAAATATACAATTTAGTTTTGTATATATTTTTATGTTATTATTACTATTTTTATATTTTTATATAATTATTAATAGACAACATAATAACGACAACAATAATAATTATTACTACTACTACTACTACTACTATTATTATTATTATTTTATAGCCATATTGATATATAATCACAAAATTTGTGCAAAATTGTGTAGCCCGTCAAACAATCACAGCTAATCTGGACTTTTTAAAACACATTTTAAATTAATTATTTGTTTAAATTTAATGCAGTCCTATTTCCTAACAGTCATGGAAAACCTGTAAATTATCAGGAAATTAGTGGAAAAAGTCATGGAAATTAATAACATCTTTGGCTGTGTGACCATTATAGACCAAAAAAATTATATAAAAAAAAAAAATCAGCTTAATGATCAATAAATATTAATTTTTTTATAACTTTTTATATCCTTTATTATCCTTTATTAAATCTTAAGATATTTTATTAAATATGCATGTTCTACTTTTAATTCCATTTAATCGGCTAGACATGGTTCCTAGGTAAAACTTCCTCTCAAGCTGTAGTGATGTAGGTCAGTTCAACCGGCTCACACATCGGTCTGAAGGATTCATTAGTGTATCGATCGGAAGCAAAATGATTTTTAAAAACCTTATGGACATGGATTATTAATAATGGAGATGTGTAGCGTTCACCATGCACTGACGCCGCTCTCTTGCAGTGTGTACGTGCATTCATCGGTCGCACAGTGGAGGAAGTGCCTTCACTCCATCAAGTTAAAGGATTCTGTTCTGGGGATTGTGTAAGGAAGCTCTCATCATCTGCATGCATTTTATATAAACTGAAGCTCTTCCTTCAGCGGCAGCTGCTCATGACTCTTTCTCTTCTTCTGTAAAGTCATGTGAAAGGACGTGTTCTGGTAGCTTTGTCTGATGGCACGCTTGCAATCTTCCACAGAGCTGTTGGTAAGACTGCTCATGCTTTCAAAAAATTCATGCAGTATCTTAAAGACTACATATTTAATGCACACCACACCATGCCGGATAAAAGCTCGTTTAATGATGGATATTTGTGTTATAGATGGCCAGTGGGATCTGACCAACTTCCACCTGTTAGATCTGGGCCGTCCGCACCACTCCATCCACTGCATGACTGTAGTGCATGACCAGGTCTGGTGTGGATACAGGAACAAGATCTTTGTGGTGCAACCCAAAGCCATGAAGATCGAGGTATGGCTTTTCTGTGACATTTTGGTGAGGTGATGTATCTCAAAGATACAATACCATTTAAAAAAAAATGTATTTATCAAGGACACAAAGTGACAGTAAAGACATCTATAATGTTACAGAAGATTTCTGTTTCAAATAAATGCTGTTCTTTTGAACTTTCTGTTCATCTGTGAATCCTGAAAAATAAAATGCATCACAGTTTCCACAAAAATATTGTGCAGCACAACTGTTTTCAACATTGATAATAATCAGAAATGTTTCTAATAATCAGCATATTAGAATGATTTCTGAAGATCATGTGACACTGAAGACTGGAGTAATGATGCTGAAAATACAGCTGCGCATCACAGAAATAAATTACAGTTTAACAGATGTTCACATAGAAAACAGCTGTTTTAAATTGCAATAATATTTCACAATTTTTACTGTATTTTTCATAAAATAAATGCAGCCTTGGTGAGCAGAAGAGAATTCAAAAACATTTTAAAAATCTTGCACACCCAAAAACTTGAATGCTAATGTATATTTAATTTAAAAAATGTAAAAAAAGCTATTAAATAATTATTTTTAGTTTCTGTATATGGACTCAATCTCCATTATTTAGTAATACATTTAATATTAAAAGGTAATTTTAAAAAGTTCTAGCTTTTGAACAGTAGTGCATGTTTATCATTATTATTGAAAAATGTTTTTTATTATGATGCTGTTAAATTTGTCACAGCTTTAAAATATTTTTTAATTTAATTTGAATAATTTTAAATTAAATTTTAATATTATTTTTTTATTTTAAATTATGTTATACATTTATTATTTAAATGTCATGGGTGGCTTTTATCATATCGCTGCTGCTTCTGTTTTTTTAAATCAGACTCTTGCTCATGACACACAATATTATTATACATTATTTATTTAACACACATACTTATTTACATTTCAAATTTGCACATATCATACCTGTACATGTCTATATTATATATTGTGGTTTTGCTATTTTGTACATTATCTATTTTGTATATTTGTATATTATTCTTTTTATTATCTGTGTCCTGTCACTGTCATACTGTTGCACTGTGGAGCTTCTGTCACTCAAACAAATTCCTCGTATGTGTAAACATTAGGGCTGGGAAAATAAATCGATGCATCGCGAATCGAGAAATGATTCAGCATTGATTCTGAGATTTTCGGAATGCATCGCGATTCTTTCCCGAGTCGATTCTGAGCTTAGTTTTGAAGAGCAGATGCTTTAGAAACAGCCGTACTCGGCTTGTTTCCAAATCCTTACACACACTTGAACCTAAAATAATCATTCATAAAATTCGAAAAGTTTGAAGTGAATTACAAGGGTGTTCACGGTGGGCTGTTTACATTAATCTGGCGTCATAAAAGCATTCTGAGCCGAGGTGAAATTAACGTTACATGACTCGGCTGAACGCACAAGTGCTCTTTAGCACTCTTCTTCATGAGCATTTGAGTGTGCGAATAAAAACTAGAGTAGAGCGCCATCTGCTGTTGAAGTGTTAGTTCACCCAAAAATAAAAATTTGCCCACAAATTGCTCACTCTCAAGTCATCCTAGGTGTATATGACTTTCTTCTTTCAGATGAATCCAGTCGGAGTTATATTAAAAATGGTCTTTGATCTTTCAAGCGGTTTAATGCCACTCAGCGGGTGTTGCATGCATCAGTCCAAAAGATGTTAAATAAAAAGCGCCCATCCATAAAAAAAAAGTGTCTCACACGGCTCCGGGGGGTGAACAAAGGCCTCCTGTAGCGAATCGATGCGTTTTTGTAAGAAAAATATCAATATTCAAAACGTAATAATCACTTGAATCTAGCATTTTTGGGTGAACTAACCCTTTAAAATCTAAGCTCAGAATCGATTCCAGAGGAATCGCGATGCATTCTGAAAATCCACGAATCGATTCTGCATCGATTTATCGTCCCAGCCCTAGTAAACATACCTGGCAATAAAGCTCATTCTGATTTGTTTACTGTGCCGTTCCTCGCCTGCAGAAATCCTTCGATGCTCATCCGCGTAAGGAGAGTCAGGTGAGGCAGCTGGCGTGGGATGGAGATGGGATCTGGGTGTCGATTCGTCTGGACTCCACCCTCAGACTGTTCCACGCTCACACACACCAGCACCTGCAGGACATCGACATCGAGCCGTACGTCAGCAAGATGCTGGGTGAGCGCTGAGACTCGTTACTGAAGCACGGGAGAATCTGACTGATGCTGACTGATGCTGTGTGTGTCACAGGCAGCGGTAAGCTGGGCTTCTCTTTCGTGCGGATCACCGCTCTGATGGTCTCATGCAGCCGTCTGTGGGTGGGAACCGGGAACGGCGTCATCATCTCCATCCCTCTCTCTGAGAGTGCGTCAGCCGTGTGCTTCTGATCACGTGATTGGTGGGAATAGAAGTACACTACCAGTCAAAAGTTTGGGATCAGAATGATTTTTAATGTTTTTTACAGGAGTCTCTTCTGCTCATCAAGGCTGCTTTTATTTGATCAAAAATACAGGAAGAAATGTAAAATTGTGAAATATTATTATGTAAAATAGCAGTTTTCTATATGAATATGTGTTAAACTGTAATTTATTTCTGTGATGCGCAGCTGTATTTTCAGCATCATTACTCCAGTCTTAGTGTCACATGATCTTCAGAAATCATTCTAATAAGCTGATATAAAATGTTGCGCTGCTTAATATTTTTTTGGAACCTGTGATACTTTTTTTCAGGATTCTTTGATGAATAAAAAGTTAAAAAGAAGAGCATTTATTTAAAATATAAATCTTTTCTAACAATATACACTACTGTTCAAAAGTTTGAGGTCAGTCAATTTTTTTTTATTTATTTTTTTTGAAAGAAATTAAAACTTTTATTCAGCGAGGATGTGTTAAATTGATCAGAAGTGATAGCAAAGATTTATATTGTTAGAAAAGATTTATATTTTGAATAAATGCTGTTCTTTTTAACTTTTTATTCATCAAAGAATCCTGAAAAAATATCTCCGTTTCCCAAAAAAATATTTGGCAGAAAAACATTGATAATTCTAATATGAGTAATGTCGTTTTTCGCTCCCACAACAGAAAGTAAAGATGCAGTGGCGGCGGGGTCCAATCATCCAGGCGGTGCGATCCGCGTCTACGGTGATGAGAGCGGTGATAAAGTCACGGCGGGAACCTCTGTGCCCTTCTGCTCCATGGCTCACGCCCAGCTGTGCTTCCACGGACACAGAGACGCCGTCAAGTTCTTCGCCGCAGTCCCAGGTAGAGCAATGACCGCAAGTAGGGAACTATGAAGTACATTGTATTTTTTTCCCCATGTTCTGATTTAGTTTTCTGGATTCTATTTATTTTATTAAAGCAATAAGCCCCAAGAAGCCGTGATTTACAGTGAATTTATAACAGCTAAGGGGCGTTGTTAGGTACGACGCGAAGCCACGGCTTCACGGGGCTTATTGCGTTTATAAAACGGTTATTCCAAATAAAGTGTAATGATATTAATAAAAACAGTATTCTTCCACCAAACAATGTAGCTCCTCAGAAACAGTTGTGGTTGCAACAAAGTGGTTGCCGAGCAACACACAAACGTAAACAAAGGTGTATGTTACTTTGTAGAGTCATTTACAACAGCTTCGAACGCGGCTCAGCCAATCAGAATCAAGCACCGGAACTCTCTGTTTTATCATTTATCTTTTAACAGCTTTTCAAATATTTGTTCACAACATAGTTAAAAATAGTCAACAAACATGTGGTACAAGCAGTCTAGTATAATAGAGATCAGTAGAGACATTTTTTGTCTTTTTGGACTCTATTTTAATTAAGAAACCAAAAAACGTGTAATTTATTGAAATCATGAAACATATACAATTTTACAATAATAGTGCCCTAAGAAATTATTATTATTTTTTTTTTTTTTTTTATGGATTTATGATTTAATGCAAATTTATTATCCAAAACAGTAGCAATCAAATATATGACCCTGGAGCACAAAAGCAGTGTTAAGTCGCTGGGGTATATTTGTAGCAATAGCCAACAATACATTGTATGGGTCAAAATTATACATTTCTCTTTTATGCCAAAAATCATTAGGATATTAAGTAAAGATCATGTTCCATGAAGATATTTTGTAAATTTCCTACCGTAAATATATCAAAACTTAATTTTTTATTAGTAATATGCATAGCTAAGAACTTCATTTGGACAACTTTAAAGATGATTTTCTCAATATTTTGATTTTTTTGCACCCTCAGATTCCAGATTTTCTAATAGTTGTATCTCGGCCAAATATTGTTCTATCCTAACAAACCATACTTCAATGGAGAGATTATTTATTCAGCTTTCAGCTGATGCAGAAATCTCAATTTCCAAAAATTGACCCTTATGACTGCTTTTGTGCTCCAGGGTCACATATAAGCTTAAAACATGAACAATCTTTAAAATTTAAACCAATGCAAATTTACCCATTTTAAGTGCTGCACAGCAGAAGTTTACTGTCAGAACGAAAGCATGCCACTTCAGATGCAGCTTCTGTGCCAAAGATAGATTTAGTTAATAACAGACCCTTAGTGTCTTATTCTAATGGAATTTATCGATCAAATGTAACAATCTGACATAAAAGATGATGCATACATTTAATAAGAGACGGAAATGATCCAGAAATGTTATTTTTGTTTGTAAGACAAAGATGTTTCTACTGTAAATTTGAGAGCTGTGAGCACATGCTTGTATTAAAGGTCCGTGGTGTTGTTCCTGTGTTGCAGGGCAGGTGATTGCATCTGCGTGGTCAGGGGTCGAGGCGTCCGATTCGCCGGAGCTGGTGAAGTCTGTGCTGGTCATGAGCGGAGGAGAGGGTTACATTGACTTCAGGATGGGTGAGTGAGACGCGTCCCAGTGCCGCACTCCTGTCAGAAGCGCCTGATTACTCACACGCCTCTCTTCCTATCACAGGAGATGAAGGAGGAGACACAGAAAACATCAACGAGCCCACTCTCAACCTGCAGCCCCTGCTGGCCAAAGCTGAACGCAGTCACCTCATCGTGTGGCAGGTTATGACCGGCGAGGAGTGACGTTGCTCCAGACGCGCTTTGGACCTTTTTCAGGCGCTTCTGCTTTATTTAAGACGTTTCAAGCACTGGCTTATAGCATTTCTACCATGCAAATCACCAAAGAATGACGTATTCAGACTGTTAGTTTGCGCTTTCACTATGAATTGCGCTTTTGCCCTTCATCTTTGGTAAGTGTTTCCTTCACGCAGATTGCAAATAATGGGCGGTCCGTATTTTTTGGGTGAAAGCACAACGGGATGATGCACAGTGCACTACATCTTAGCTAGAAGAGCTTTTGTGTTTGTTCGTGGGATGTTTTCACCAATAAGTGCTTTTTCAATTCTTAAATCATCCACTTTTTTCATATGAATGTCGCACGGTTACCAAAGGATAGAGAAATCATTTAATAGCTTCATTGATGGATTCTAGATCACTTTGTGTCACGCAGATCCACGTCACGTTTTGCTCGTTCGCCTATTTTTTAACACTCTTGCAGTTTTCGCAGGAAAGTAGTGCGTAGAGACAAACGTGTATTTTTATGACTCTTTTGTACATGTCTTTTAGACTCTAATGTAGAGCATCTAGAGCTGCTTCGTGTGCAGGAGAGTAGAAACAACCTCCTGTCGCAAACTAAACTTTGCAGTATTTATTTCTATGAACGAGCCTTTGCAGTTCAGAATGTAACTTTGTACATTGAATATAAATATATACAAAATACAGATATGTATATGAAATGTATGACTGCTTGGATTTGAGTTTTTTTGATAATGTAAATCAGGTTGATTGATTGATCGTGGGCGGATCAAAATAACGGACTACAGAAATGTAAAAAAATCACTGAGCTATGCACTATTTTTAAAGGACAGTGTGTGAGTGTGTGTGAGTGTGTGTGTGTGTGTGTGTCTAATAGTTGTATCTCGGCCAAATATTGTTCTATCCTAACAAACCATACTTCAATGGAGAGATTATTTATTCAGCTTTCAGCTGATGCAGAAATCTCAATTTCCAAAAATTGACCCTTATGACTGCTTTTGTGCTCCAGGGTCACATATAAGCTTAAAACATGAACAATCTTTAAAATTTAAACCAATGCAAATTTACCCATTTTAAGTGCTGCACAGCAGAAGTTTACTGTCAGAACGAAAGCATGCCACTTCAGATGCAGCTTCTGTGCCAAAGATAGATTTAGTTAATAACAGACCCTTAGTGTCTTATTCTAATGGAATTTATCGATCAAATGTAACAATCTGACATAAAAGATGATGCATACATTTAATAAGAGACGGAAATGATCCAGAAATGTTATTTTTGTTTGTAAGACAAAGATGTTTCTACTGTAAATTTGAGAGCTGTGAGCACATGCTTGTATTAAAGGTCCGTGGTGTTGTTCCTGTGTTGCAGGGCAGGTGATTGCATCTGCGTGGTCAGGGGTCGAGGCGTCCGATTCGCCGGAGCTGGTGAAGTCTGTGCTGGTCATGAGCGGAGGAGAGGGTTACATTGACTTCAGGATGGGTGAGTGAGACGCGTCCCAGTGCCGCACTCCTGTCAGAAGCGCCTGATTACTCACACGCCTCTCTTCCTATCACAGGAGATGAAGGAGGAGACACAGAAAACATCAACGAGCCCACTCTCAACCTGCAGCCCCTGCTGGCCAAAGCTGAACGCAGTCACCTCATCGTGTGGCAGGTTATGACCGGCGAGGAGTGACGTTGCTCCAGACGCGCTTTGGACCTTTTTCAGGCGCTTCTGCTTTATTTAAGACGTTTCAAGCACTGGCTTATAGCATTTCTACCATGCAAATCACCAAAGAATGACGTATTCAGACTGTTAGTTTGCGCTTTCACTATGAATTGCGCTTTTGCCCTTCATCTTTGGTAAGTGTTTCCTTCACGCAGATTGCAAATAATGGGCGGTCCGTATTTTTTGGGTGAAAGCACAACGGGATGATGCACAGTGCACTACATCTTAGCTAGAAGAGCTTTTGTGTTTGTTCGTGGGATGTTTTCACCAATAAGTGCTTTTTCAATTCTTAAATCATCCACTTTTTTCATATGAATGTCGCACGGTTACCAAAGGATAGAGAAATCATTTAATAGCTTCATTGATGGATTCTAGATCACTTTGTGTCACGCAGATCCACGTCACGTTTTGCTCGTTCGCCTATTTTTTAACACTCTTGCAGTTTTCGCAGGAAAGTAGTGCGTAGAGACAAACGTGTATTTTTATGACTCTTTTGTACATGTCTTTTAGACTCTAATGTAGAGCATCTAGAGCTGCTTCGTGTGCAGGAGAGTAGAAACAACCTCCTGTCGCAAACTAAACTTTGCAGTATTTATTTCTATGAACGAGCCTTTGCAGTTCAGAATGTAACTTTGTACATTGAATATAAATATATACAAAATACAGATATGTATATGAAATGTATGACTGCTTGGATTTGAGTTTTTTTGATAATGTAAATCAGGTTGATTGATTGATCGTGGGCGGATCAAAATAACGGACTACAGAAATGTAAAAAAATCACTGAGCTATGCACTATTTTTAAAGGACAGTGTGTGAGTGTGTGTGAGTGTGTGTGTGTGTGTGTGTGTGTGTGTGTTATGCCAGCATTTTGTGGACTGGAAGAGTGCGCCGTCCCATAATCCTCCAGGTTTGGGCACTTCTTGTCTGTAAGAATGGAGCGGACATCTCCCAGAATCCTCTGTTAGTCGTCCCTTCAGTATGTTCATCTCCTCTCGGCTCATCTTAGCCTTATACATTTTATTAATCTATTAAACTGACATTTTTGGGGAACATGCTGTTTTTGCTATTATTGTTATTACAAGCAATTTACAAGAGGATTTACAGATGCACTTTTTAAATGATAAAATGTACTTGGAAGTTTGTCTCTTTCTGAGAAGTAACCAAAAAACAAACAAACTGTTAATAAAGCAAAGCAAAACGTCCTTAAGTAAATCTTTACATTAAAAACCATTTGCAAACCATTTAATGTAAAGATTTACTTAAGGATGTTTTGCTTTGCTTTATTAACAGTTTGTTTGTTTTTGAACGAACAAACCATTTGAATCATTCACTCAACTGATTCATCCAAAACTGATTCAAAACCGTTTTGGCTTTGTTTACGGAGCAAAAATTAAAATAAAAAAAAATAAAATAAAAATAATAATAATAATAATTTACCAAAACAAAAAATATCTAAAATGTATATCACTCAGTGCTAACTTCTTGTCAAATGCAATAAAATCCACAAATTTTTGTGTCCAAATATGTTTTTATATATACTTTTTTTAATAATAATAATAAAAAAAAATATATATATTTATTTATTTATTATGATTGATTGATTGATTGCAATTTTTGCTCTGGAAACAAAGCCATAATGGTTTTGAATCCGTTTTGGATGAATCAGTTCAGTTCAGAGTGAATGATTCAAATGATTCGTTCATCAAGCATAACAAAGTAACAGAAAGAGTCACTGAAAGATCAACACCACTGATGACAGATATATTGTAAAAAAAAAAAAAAAAATTAAAAACCTGGTTGAAGTCTTGCTGCCAGTTACATAAACATAGCATCTATGTTAAGACTGTGTCTTAAGAACTAATTTGACCAACTAGCAGTTAACCAATAGGTAATCACTCTAACTTTGTAATACTAGTCTAAACAGTTTAGGCCCTGTTTGTCAAACGCTGGTGGATCATGTTGATTGATTCTCTACAGCTGTGGTTCCACTGAGGAGAACGGACTCTATCAAGCTTATTTGTAATATAAGAGCAGCGCAGCCATTTGTAACATGAATGTGTGAGACTTTTCCAGTTATTTACAGCAGTTTTATTTTTATGCTGCTTGATATTTTAATGTATTATAATCAAAAGCACACTGGTTTGTAGTGCAAACAGTTTTACTGCACTTTGATATTCTTTAGTTATTTACCTATAGCAGTCTTGCACATTCACAGAAAGTAGTTTCAATCAGCATTATGAAATAACACTAAATCACACTGACAGCAGATGATTAAAAATCATTGCAAAAGTGGCTATACATTTAAGTACTGAATAATATTAACTACTATACTATACTGGACTTACGGTTTAGGATGAGGATTAGATTTCGGGTTAGTTGCATGTAATTATGCATAATTTATTGTTATCACTGTAGTAAATACATGTAACAAGGACACTATAAAATAATTTATTTGCAGGTGCCACTTGGTTTGATATTTTGTTATATGATGCAATGAACATGCAGACGTTTCAAAAATGTGACTTAAGGCAAAACAGGTGAATTCAAATATATATTATGAAATGTTTTAAATATGCAAATGAGGCATTCTAAATTAAATATGCACTAATTTGCATATATTTCCAGAACAGAACTCTGAACATTGGATAAAGCCAGGACCACACTTCTTGTTTGTTTTTGTTGACATACTACAATATTTTTTTTAGAGAATTGATTTTGGATTTTTCTTATCACTTCATAAATCAGAAAAAAAAAACATTTTCACCATGTTTTTAGAAATGAATTGGAATATAGATGGGAGTAAAACTATAGGAGATTTCTGAAAGATATGTATTGCAACTGAATTCTACGGATGCAAATAGATAAAGTGCAATAAAATAAACACTTTTGGATGTTTTCATTTCCACTAGTCATGACAGAACGGAAGCAAATCAGACCAAAATCTGGATGAAAATCGATGGTTTCTTGCATTAAATGTCTAAATCTATTTTAGTACGCATATATCTGATGTTGTAGATCTGGCCACAGAAGGGCAGCAGCGCTCCGCTTCATTCCTGCCTTTGAAATGTCATTGAGTGAGGAAGGAGCTGCTCCTCCCCCTCCTGTGATTGGCTGCCGCTGGTACACAGTACATGTTCTGACACAACACACTATTGAACTTCTGAATCAGCACACAGAGCTCTGATCTGAGCCATGAGCACTTATAAGATGTCTAACATGCATTGAGTCTCTCTCATGTCTGTCTCCCCAGCAGAAATCACTGCAGCCCACACAATGAGGAGCTTTTCTGGTCAGGTGAGGCGTGTGGAGCTCATCAAACCCATCCAGCTGGTGTATCCAGGGAGGTTTCCAAGGGCTTTCCAGGACGCAGTGAGGATGCCTGGGGCTCCTGGACGCTCCTGTGGGGTCTATATTTGGACAGTTTGGAGATGGACTGACTGACTGTGTTGCTCGCTTTATAAAGCCACACATCTGTGATATCCAGACATTTCATTTCATCCCCTTGCGCCAAAACAAATAAGCCCCCAGATTTGAGTCTCGGAGCTTTGGCAGATTTATATTGGATTGAGTTTTCATCATTTGGAGCGTTTGTGAACGAGCCTGGTGATATTTGCATTATTGGGATTTAGATGTTACATAATGCAGCATCCCGGCGGTGCAAACCCGTCTGTAAACACTTTGCTGCTTCGCTTTTCCACCAGCTTCATTTGCACTTAATGTATAAACCAAAGTTGACTGTAATTGGCCATGAGAGACTGAGTGTAATTAGCCGTATGGAGAAAGAATTAACATTTTTATGGCAGTCACTTTTATTTCTGTCTTGCAGAGATGTGTTGGGTTCTCATTATGTAAAAAGTAGGTTTCTCTAAAAAATGCATATCATGCAATGCGTTCATGGACTTTTCTTAAAAACCATAAAAATCTATATTTTGGATTAGAATAATTATATGAATAAGGAAAGGGTATATTTTAGGTCTTGCAACTGGTCACCATGTCATTTACATTTGTCATCATTTTAATCACTATTTTGCCTTCACTTGTTATGAATGATTCTGCAATGACAACTACATTTTTACAAGTAAACAAGTAAAAATATTCCATGGAGTTGCTCTATTTCGCATAAAAGCTGCATGCATATTATTATTATTAGTATTATTGTGCATAC